TGAATTTGTAATCAATCGATATTAGCCACTGGGTACTATACACACACTATATTATTTCACTAATTCACTGTTAAATCGCAATCCTTGTTGAACGACATGCAAGCACGGCAGCCATTTTTGTTGCCACAGTATAGCCTATTAGTTTCGTATCGCAGTATCGGTAGTATCGGCTATACATAATCTATCTTGCTAATACACGCACGCACACGGGATATAGTAAGCGAGTTTCATTTCCGCAATGGATAATATTTTTAACCTTTATATTATATATGTTATTACACTTATTATAATTATATACCGAATATTATTATTTATTAATATATTATGTTATTATCAATATATATTCTCTAAACCAATGTCGGGAAACCCGATTGAACATTATATAAACATTTATATGAAGTTATATAAACACTTGTGTACGCGGTGCACGCCAAAATAAATCGGTCACTTCGTAGAATCCAAAGAACGAGTACTGTTTTACTCTTACATCTATCGTGAATCAACAATTCCCCACAACCAAAGACATTATTGTCAGTCAATAGGGAATAGGCCCTACAAAACATAAATGATCTGTATTCATGCCTTGTGTGGATTCCACCTTTGGCTGAATTTAGCATCCAAATGCATTATTTCAATATTAATAACATTACAATGGCATTTCGACAACCAGCTTCATTGCCTTGTTCTCTGGCATTAGTTTTAATGCACTTCTTAGAGAAGTCAAATCTAAGGCTTCGTCATGATGCTGCACAATGTAATTGCATGGTAATACCACACCACCACCCACTGACATAGGTGCAGGCCATGGAGAGAAACTGGAAACAGGTTCTCCAGTTGGCTCTGCAAAAACACTTTCCGCAGCGTCTATTATGGATGTAAATGATCCAGCTATACCCCTAGGGACGTGTCCTAATGGAAATCCAGCAACATCCCGAAGGGTCATTTTCCTCTTCACATCTGTTACCATGTCATGCATTTGGATGCTAAATTCAGTCAAAGGTGGAATCCACACAAGGCATGAATCTAGATCATGTATGTTTGTGTATTCCCTATCGACTGACAATAGAGTCTTTTGATCAGTCATCGGGGGCCGTATATGGTAGTGATGATAGCCCTTTATAACCGCATTTTCTAGTCTGACATTTACTATAGGTGAAGCTAATCAAGACTCAGAGGTGGAAGGCAGTGGCACGAATGGATCACTAGAAGAGGCAGTCTCTGGAATTGTCTCTGAATGAGTGGTCTAAAATTGGAAGAAAAACAAGCATATAATTTCACTTGGTGTCAAATACCTGTCTACATTTATGATGACATACGTAATATTAATGTTTACTAATCTAAAATAAAATTAAGCAAGGTGATCTATCAGTGTGAAATGAATACAGTAAACATTGAACAAAAAATCATCACAAAACTGAGTTGCATATTATGCAGTTGACATTAGGTACAATTTAAAATACACATGTCCCTACTCACACCCCGACACACACACTATGGCTGACACTCCGGGCAACAGAAGGGTGCATCGTCAGGTGGAATGTCAATGGTAGAACAGTCTGAGTGTATCCACCCATTACACTCGTCACACTGGACCCACTGGCCTCCGGCTGTATCGTTCATCCACGCCATTGTACACCCTATGCATGTAACATTCTCTTCTGATGTGTTTGCCTTTTGCGTTTTTTTCGGATGACTTTCTTCGCCTTTATGTATCGCAGCTTTGTCTTTTTCTCCTTGTCAGCAAAAACTCTGATCTTATCTAACGGCCTCAGCGCCATTGTCCTAATACCCTCAGCAGACGTCAAGTTATCAGGCAGGATATTCAGCACTGTAATCCGCTTTGGCCTTGATTCGTGAGCACGGGGGAACACAAGTGCTTCTCGCACGGATGGTGATATGTTGTCAGAATTGTAAGCAGACTGTTCGGTTTCTGGGGTGCTGTGATGGCCGTGTCTCTGCCGTTCGCTTTCATGTACAGTAGTCTGTACGCATCAAAGCAGGGAGATTTCCCTTCTATGTCGTATCCTTCCTGGATGCGTCTGTGATACGTCTCCCTGGTCAGAGTTGATAAAACACTCTCTAGTGCCACCAATGCCCCTGATGCCTTCCGAAGCTCATCACAAGTGTTGTCATGTGGTGTGCTGCTTGTTGATGGCTCCACTGCATCCTTATACGTGATTGTTGGTTTTAGCCGGGTTGATGATATCACGGTGCTGTCGACAGGATATATACCGGGTGCTTTAAAGCTATTTATGATGGTTAAGGGCTTATAGAATAATAGAAAGGCTTCTTTTAGTTTTTCTGCAAAGTTTACCTTTCCTATTGGAATGTCTGGGTGGTCTCTTGTATTGTGTCTTACAACCTGGTGCCACTTTGCCTTCAATGGACCGAACACACCTTTATCTAGGGGCTGCATCAAATGGGTGGCGTTCGGGACAATCCGATAAATTTCAATCCCCCTTGCTTTTGCATCTTCAAAAGCGGCCATGTGTACATGGCTGCTTACGCTGTCTATTAACAGTACAACTGGTCTATCCGTGCCGGCATGTTTATCAAAATGTTGAATAAATTTGCAGAACGTATCTGCATCCATCCACCCTTTCTTGGTGTAGGCAATTTCGGAATCTTCAATTGCTCCAGTTAGTGGATTGTATCCACGTGGCTGAGGTGAAGGATACACCAAGAAAGGGGGCATCATTCTTCCATCTGCAGACCCACAGAACATCACAGTCAGCCGCTGCTTGCTATTGCCGCCAGATACATGAGGCACCTGGTGGGCATTCTCTTTCCTCGGAGGTCCGATTATTTTCTGCTTGCTGGCAGAACTTCCCATACAAAACCCAGTTTCGTCTGCATTCCAAATTCTGCTGGGTTTGTCTAAGACGTCTGCTCTAGCAAGGAAGTCTCTAAAACCGCCAAACCACTTATCAGTTGCATTTTTTGTTAATTTTGCTCTGCAATTTTCCAAGAGTGTTTCTTTGCGCATTTCCACTATCTTGCAGTTTCTCTTCATAAAGGCATAATACCAATCATGGCTGGGCCTGTTATTCTTGAACGGAGTAGACCTATTCTCACGTTCAACAATAATCTGGACAAAGTCCAAGAATTTTCCCGGCCTTAACCCCATTCCTCTTTCTGCCATCTCACGCAGCCATCTTGCCATCGCTTCTTCTTCTCTAGTAAACACTTGTGGTGGACCCTTTTTTCGATCAATCTCTACTTCTCTCGACAGCCTCCTATATAAATACTCAAATGACAACTCGTTATCACGAGCTGCCTGCCTGATTGATATCTCATTCTCCCGAATGGCAAATAGGGCCCTCCTGACCCTCGATCCCTTGCCTGGCGTTCCTGGCCTCACATGCTTCTTTGCCACTTTTTTGGCCTTTTGCACTGCGGGACTTGTTGTTGGACGGGCTTCTGATATTTTTCTACTAGCACTTGCTTTCGATGTGAGCTTGGCTTTTGTGGTTTTCATCACTGTGAGATCAATCTTGTTTCTAAATATTTGACTGTAAAATAAAATTACATGTGTTTATATTATATATAAAGTAATAATAATAAATTATTTTTTAATATATAAATATGAAGTAATAATAATAAATTATTTTTCAATATATAGATATGAAGTAACAATAATAAATTATTTTTCAAAGTTATGTTTTCTTTGTAAATGATAATTTTTCTGTCAAAAACAATAATTTTATGATCCGTTAATCCTTGTCTAATTGCAATTGAATTTGCGGCATGTTTATCTATTAAACATTTGCAAATAAATCTCATAAAACTGACAAACATAGTTAATATAATATGCTATCAAACTATTTTAATTTAACTTTTAGAATCCCTGGCATTTTTGTGCACTTACCTTTTTTCGAACACCCTTCCTCTTTAATCGTCTGCTAAGCGCGTCACAAACGGAAACACCAATTAAAACGGAAGCGGAAAACTACTGACGTCATGTCCGCTTGACTAAAAGATGTTCAGATGTTAAAATCACAGTGGTTGGCGTTCGAAAAGGTAACATTCATTTTTACCACGCTCGTTTAGTTTTCCTTAAAAAATGAAAATA